AAGCTTGGCATTGTTTTTGGATACCTTAGGTTCAAGGTCAAGTTCACTATTACTTGAAATAGAAAAATTGTTTCTGGCAATTAATTTTTATAAGTATTGGTACACAGGTAAAACAAAATAATTATAGGTTGAGTTCAAATTTTACCTCATACCACTTACTTTTCAAAACGTCAAGGTGGATGATAAATATCTAAAAAGATGACAGGCTAAAGTGATAGCCATAGTTAGGTCTATTTTATAATCCATGATGAATATTGAAGGTTAAATTAAAGACTGGAAAGGAATCTTAATTTTATGAAGGGTTTAACTGTATACGCGCATAATATAGGCAAATATTCTTCAGTGGGCAAAAACTAATTCCCTAGCGTTTTGATTCATAATTATGCTCGACGAGGCAAAGACCAGCACTCTTGAGCTTTCCATCATCAACTTCCTTATGGCATGGCATTCATGACTTTCCTATATATCCAAATGTATATATCCGGATGTTAATGGATCGAAATGGGAGATGAACATTTTTTGCAATTCGTTTGAATAGTTGTTATGGCATAGCCTCTGTTAATGATTTTTTTCATCGACGATTTTGGTAACCAAACAGTGGGGATTCTATTTTTTATCAGCAGAAATAAAATTGAATTCGTGAAAGCGCACTAAAATATGCCTGATTTGAAATGGTGTGCGCATACTAGCAAATGTAGCGGGAAGGGTTTTAGATGTTTTTAAGAAGGACAACCTTTAAATGTGAATATTTTCATGCAAGGTCTAATAAATGTATAAACGATACAAATCAATTGTTTTGGAGAATCTTCACTTCGCCTGAGATTGCATTGTTTTCCCTCTTGAGCTACGTACGTTGATAGACAGGCTCATAACGACATTAGACATACAAAATTAATTTATTAAGTCGGGATTTAAATTAATTGTTTGCGATAGGTACATTTAAACGACACGTTATCATTTAAAATCCATAATTTCATTTGCTTGCAAACCCATTTGTATGCCCCCCTTCGAAGAAGAGGGGGTATATTGTTTTGCTTATGTCGGTCTGTCTGTCTGTCTGTCGGTCCGTCGGTCTGTCCGTCGATAGTATTGTATTCATCACAAAGTCGTCATATTTCACATAGTGATTGTTCATAACCGGTAGATGACCCCTTTTGATTTTGGGGTCACTATGTCAAAGGTCAAGGTCACAGGGGTCTTAAATGTCAAAATGATTTCCGCTGATTATCTTGAAAAGTATTAATCACAAAGTCTTCATATTTCACATATTGATTGGTCATAACTAGTAGATTACCCCTATTGATTTTAGGGTCACTAGGTCAAAGGTCAAGGTCACAGTAGTCTTAAATGTTAGAACGGTTTCCGCTGATTATTTTGAAAAATATTCTTCACAAAGTCTTCATATTTCACATATTGTTTGGTCATAAGTAGTAGATGACCACTTTTGATTTTGGGGTCATTAGGTTAAAGGTCCATGTCACAGGGTCTTTGAATGGTTATATGATTTCCGCTTATTATTTTGGTTACCATTGATTACAAAGTCTTTTTTTCACATATTGAGCGGTCATAACTAGTAGATGATCCCTATTGATTTTGGGGTCACTGGGTCAAAGGTCAAGGCCACAGGGGCCTTAAATGTCAGAATGATGTTCGTTCATTATCTTGGTTACAACTCATTGAATAGTTTTCATATTTCAAATATTGATTAGTAAAAACTAGTATTGATTTTGGGTCAATAGGTTAAAGGTCAAGGTCACAGGGACCTTTAATGTCTGAATGGTTTCCGCTCATCTTGAAAAGTATTCATCACAAGTCTTCTATTTCACATATTGTTTGGTCATAACTAGTAGATGACCCCTATTGATTTTGGGGTCAAAGTCACAGAGGCTTTAAATGTCAGAATGGTTTCTGGTCATTATTTTAATCACAATTTATCACAAAGTCTTCATATTTCACATATTGATTGGTCATCACTAGTAGATGACCACTAGTGATTTTGGGGTCACTAGGTCAAAGGTTAAGGTCACAGGGACCTTAAGTGTCAGAATGGTTTCCGCATATAATCTTGGAGATTTTTTATCACAGAGTCTTCATTTCATATTTCAGATACTGATTGATCATAACTAGTAAGTGATCCTATTGATTTTTGGGTGACTAGGTCAAAGGTCAAGGTCACAGGAATCTTGAAAGTTAGTATGGTTTCCGCTCATTATCTTGAAAGCTATTTATCACAAAGTCTTCATATTTCTAATATTGATTGGTGATAACTATTAGATAACCCCTATTGATTTTTGGTCACTAGTTCAAAGTTCTTGGTCACAGGGGCCTTAAATGTGTCATTATCTTGAAACTATTCATCACAAAGTCTTCATTATTTTTCTTTTTTCCATTATTGAACACTTCCATGTACCCATTTATGGCAAGTTTCTATAACAAAATTACCAATGATGTGAGTCAAGGGCTAGAAGGGGGGGTGCATATGTGTCGTTCGACATTTCTTGTTTAAAATTAGGATCGACTTGTTTAAAATGAGGGAAATACCCTCTGATAGACATCATGTCATTTATACAATTTTAAGTATTAAAATGATCTCTAAAATAGAATTATTAACAAAAAGTAAAACAAACTTTAAATGCATAAGGAAAATATTGTGTTACATTGGGTAGTCATCGTTTGAGATTATAACTTGATAAAATATTACCATGTACGACCATAACTGCCATGTCATCTTAAGATTATTTTTGTAGATTACAAAACGAAAAGGAAACAAATAAAACCAAATATGTATGTATTACAGTTAGGACGTGAAGTTCATCATCTTAACCAAATTCTGATCATGAATTCTGACTATATTCCCCTTCGTTTCTTCAAAAGAGTTGTGTTTTTGTGTGTTACGCAAAAGGTATACTTGGTAAATTAGATTATAATGAAAGTCAGCATTGATGCAAATAAAAGTACAAAATATTGTTGTTTAGATATCACTTAAATCGAATGAACATAAAAGGAGTAAATTTAGGGCATTATATCATCGTAAGGCAAATGTTTACCATAGTTTCATTAGATTGTAGTGGCGGTGTGGGCGAGTGGGTAACACGTCGAATTAGTAATCTAAGGATTGCTGGCCGCGTGGGTTTTAACCTTGCCAGGAACTTGCCGTCGTTTCCTTGAGCAAGAAATTTTAAACTCATTTCTTAGTACTGGTTGATTTATGTTGATATATTCCTTTCAGTACTTTCACTAATTGTGATTTATTTAGTTAAGGTCTTCAATGTTTGTTAATTATAACTAAACTTTTCTCAAGGAAACATAGCCAAGCGCAATCTTCAAATTTTTTATATGCCTTATGTCAGTAATGCATTGATTCTTATGAGCAATTGTGTTCATTTACTGAAATAATGTTCTTTATGATTGATTAAGTAGCCGTTTTTAACAAAGCATTTAATTAAAATTGATTTACATGTATATCGATAAGGGCACAGTGATTCCTGAATGACATAATAATTTACCGATGTGTTGTCCAGTTTTGACTGTTTAATATTTTTACATAAACATTTTCTAAGCAAAACATCCATCCTAAGCCATTAATCAGTATTGTAAAATACAGCAATGTTAATAATAAAATGTCTTAAACACACGAAAGTATGTTATTTCAACTTGTCTCACTCAATGGTTAACACTCTAGTGGCTACTGTTTTGATCCAAATATCCTGGAAATTGGTCTGAAAGTTTGTTTTAAATAATGTCTAGGTCAAGTTCGAATATGGGTCACCTGGGGTCAAAAACTAGGTCACACTGCTCAAATATGGATAATCCTTGTTTACACTCTAGTGGTCACATTTTTGACTCACCTGTCATGAAACAGGTCAGAATGCTTGTCTAGGTAATTGTTCGAATGAGTTCGATGGATCAGGTGAGCGATCTAGGACTATCTTGGCCCTCTTGTTATTGTTGCTGTTTGTTTAGTTTTATTTCTAAATACTTTACTTCTTATAAACAAAACAATGTTTATCACAAGTTCAGTTATAAAAGCGAAGAGGAAAATGACTGCATTGAAGGCTTGGTAATTTTCTCGATGTCGATTTTAATCGGAATTATGTTGTGTCAACTTCGCATGGACCTTGAGATGAACAAAGCTATAATTAATAATAAACCATCACATAATTTATATGACTTTTTTCATTTCGTAATCTGATTTGAGGTTTCAAAAATCTTAGCCACAGCATTCTCACAACCGCCTATGGAGCTAAGGTACTCCTGCAAATTGACTGTCAAATTTGAAAGTCTTTATTTTTCACATATTAAAAAAAAACCGGACTCGTCGTTTATCAAGTTGTAAAGTTTCATCCTTTAAGGTATGAGCATTATCAATGCAAATAAAAGAATTGACAGATATTTTAAAACTTACCTATTTAAGAATTGTGAACAATAGAACTTTCCAGTGTTTGCAGTTTAAGTGAATGATAACTTCCTTATTGAAACACTTTGAAAATACATACACAGACTCTAGTTGACCTTGTTTACACAAAAGAAGACGTTTTTTTCTTTGTGATACTGTTTGTGTGCAATTTACCAATGACAGAATAGAAAAAGGATGGGCGAAATTTCCACTGTAAAATTGGGAAAGATCCATTTTATTCTCGACAGAGACTTCGATAGAAAAACTTTTACAGTCAGATTTGCTTCTTGTTTATATACAAAAGGCTTATATTATATATGTTAATTCCATGTACTTACTGACATTAGATGTTTAACAAACAAACACACACGCACACACGCAACAACAACAAAACAAAGAAAGCATGACTTCACCATCAGCTAGGAAGCTGTACTTATTTTCTCTTTTACTTTTTTGTCAATTTGTTCTCTTTTGATGTTTCAGAATGAACGTCCCTGCTGAACATTTATCTTCAAACAACATGTACAATATCAAACAAATAAGGAAGTTTGCACTGCACTGCTTCTTTCTCATTGGCGTATAAAGTTTATAAAGTCAACAAAAGAGTCATTTAACCATCAAGACCGTTTTTTAAGTAATTGTCACATGCAATACACTTTATTTACGTCGACAAACTGAATACATTTAAAATAGTTCGGGCTTGTTGAACTAGGAGGATTAAATGTAACAGAGATAATGTGGTGGATAAATGTTTTTTTGTTTCTTATTCTTATGACTGTAATATTCAGATCTGTCGATTGGCTTTTGCAAAAAATTCCGTCTGAATTAGAAACAAAAACTATAACAGATTTACCAGTAAAACAATCAAAAGAAGCAGGTGCCGCCAAACAAGGGACACTTAAAAAGCGCAAAAGGTGAGTTGTTTCGTTTCTTTTTTAATTCTAATTTTGTTTATTCACATGAAAATATTTTGTTATACAAAATGTTAGTACTTCTTTTTTTCCAGTTTGCACACAAACATGACAAAAAGACTTTAGAGTCATGTCTTTATTTGAAAAAACCTTTGTTTATAAGGTATGATCCATAATTACCCAGTCTTTTCGCGCAGAGACAATAATAAATATTAAAATTTTACATATCACTATATTATGCGTTATATATCCTGTTTTTAAAAGAAAAATGAATTGTGAACTTTCAGCGAGTTATGACCAGCACATGAGTATCTAAACAATCATAGTTTACGAAAATACAATCATATTAACGCTTGAATGGCACTTGAGGATATTAAATAAATGATATTTCAATTTTAAAAAAATGAACATAATTTTATACAGAAATAAGTCAAAAGAAACAAACATGAAAATTATCAGACTTATAATGAAATTCCATGTAACTCAGGATTATCCCTCGTAGTTCACAACATACAGAATAAATCGTCTTTGGATTTAGTTTTTTAGATTTAGAATGGAATATATTAGCATTCTAAAACAAAACATAATGTAACACTGCATGTAAAAACTGTTTGTCTTAAAAGGATGTATCTTTAAGTTATGCATAGATGTTTAAAATATGATTGTGTCAATATGGTGTGTAGGGGTGATAAACATATATAATAAGGATTCTGTTTCGTTTTGGTCGGAATGCAGCATGAATATCGAAATAGAAACAGAAAAAATATAAAAGATAACGCCGGCCAAGGTTGTCTTAAGACTCAAATAGAACCTAAAAGAACATGCGAAACAATTTTTTCGACACACTGAACGTAATCAAAAAGTAATAATAATATTAAGATAAAAAAAAGACAGTAAGAAAATGATCTAGTTTATTGCAAGATATCTAGGAATGAAAGAACGTAAGTTTCATATTTTATATGGAAGACTTTACAGAAACATTCTAAGGTTAGGATATTTTATAATAAGCGTCCATAAATTGTATTTCAAAGTTTACTGTCGTACCGTTATTGAAACTTAATTAAATTTGGAAAAATATCTTGTATTGCGTTGATTGAACGCCGCCTTTTTTGTTGATCTTGTTTAACATATTTTGAATGCGTTCTTGTATAATATCTCACGGTATGTGGACCAGATGCGCAGTAATATAATCACGAAGGTCGTAGGCCTGAATGATTTATTACAAACATCTGAACGAAATACCATACAATATTTTACAACTCCGCACACAAAAAAACAATATCATTTTCCATTCTAACACGTCACGAAAGAAATATATATCGTTGGACTAGATCCATGGTTGTTTACGCATGCCGACGCTCCAATCGACAGGAAATAACTGTCGATAATTCTTTTATATGCGCTATATATTTTGAGAATTGAAAATTTTGGACAAGTTCATGTAGTGTTGTGTATATATTTTTAGTGCAAAACAAGGAAATAAATTAATTTCAATCAAACCTAAAAATATTTTTCAAAATCTGAAGCGGATAACTGGGTCAACGATTCTTTCGAATAATGTTCAACAACAACAATTATCAAACCCTGTTTGCAATGTTATTAATCATAATCCTTAAAGTGCTGACCGATTTTTTCCCGTGTACATGTATATAGTGATGGAACTATCAAATATTTCTCTGTAAGCATATGCACTTGAGTGCTGTATTGCGTAGTATAGGGGAAGGGTGGGGGGCAAGTAAAGCAGGACGTGCCTTGTTATGGTTTGCACGTTTTTACTGGTCTTCTTTGTTTACATAGAATTCGATAGTGTTAGAATAAATTATAAAGCACAAGTTAAAAGGAAAAGATTAAAAGATCACGTTTCAAGAGGTTTTTTTGGTTACCTATCCAATAACTATTCATATCAGATTTTCTAACATTTATATTTTGAGGAAAATATTTACTAACCATACTTTTGTTGCTGTTTTTTGTTTTGCTTTGTTTTGATTTTTTTTGCAGAAGAAATTTTCTGATCAGATTTTTTAATTGTTTACTGTTTATGTCGTGTCCGGGATTGTCTTAGGCAAGTTATTGTAACATGGTATAAAACTGTTTTACACTGTATTGTATGACCAGATGATAATTTATGAGTGACTGATGTTTTGACCTACTAAGAGCCGATCTGCTCCATTAAATTGCTGTTTAGTCAAATTAAAGATAAAGTACACTTTGATTTAGTCGATTTTACATCCAATAAGCGAGAGAAATGAATGATATGGTGAAATAATTGTTTATTGTGAATTTCCGAATTCCATTGATGAAGCAAATCAAAAAGGTTCCTTCTAATATTACGTTACATTAAATGCAAGTTATCGTTCTTTTATCCCTTGATGAATGTCATTCGTTCATATCCTTAACAACATTCACTATGCTTTAATACAATATATTAAAAAGCTTGCTTATTTCTTATTTGTGTGTGTAGGGGGGGGGGGGGCATAGATTTTCCTGTAATTAAAGTACCGAATCTATCAATATTATCGTTGCAAAATACTTGCCGGCTGATGGTTCTGTGCGAAATTTCTTAGGTGCTCTGTCTTTGCCCTGTCCTGTTTTGTTTGGGGTCTGCCTGGGCTCCTTGCCACTGGTTCTTGTTGCTGGGTCATATGGGGGTTGCGTTCATTGAACGCCGCCTTTCCTTGTTGATCTTGTTTATCATATTTTGGGTACAGCCAGTGCTCTTCCAATTCATGGACTCTTTTTCGTATTTAGGTATGTAAGTGATGAAGCCCATGTTACCAGGCAGCTGGAAAGTCTGCTGGAGTGGCACTGTGCACTTCTTGAAGCTCTTTACTTGTCTGTACCATTTGCTGACAATCTTGCATGTATGTTCAGGTTTCAGGATACCCATTTGTCAGATCTTTTTGACATGCCAAAATGTTCATGTATTATAGAGCAGTTAATAAAAATCAAGTTCGGCAATTTTGATTGGGAGATGATTTACCAAAAGTCTCTCAAGAAATAGATCTCCTGAATGTTGGCAATAGCAAGGCGACCCTGCCTTTGGTCATCTTCTAAGTCACGCCAACATTTAAATTCTGCTGACCACTTACTTTGGGCTTTTCTTACCATAATCATCATTCATGCAGCGATGAATTTACTTAGCGTTTGTCCCATCCGAAGGATTTTTAGGACTGCTTTGAACTTATTATTCTGATTGTCCAATCTGTTTAAATTTCGTGTTTTCAAATATGAGCAAAAATGTACGTGTTTACTGAACGACAGTTACACGTTTCATTCACCTGACAAAGGTTACACTGCTCACAAATAGTAAACAAATCTTGAATTGTATTACACTGAGTTCTACGATTTTCTTTTATTCCGCTTGTATGCGCAAGCTTACAAAAGATTACTATTATTACCGCTTTGATGTAGCTTTTTTTTCTGTATCATCTAATTGTATTTCCATCATTTTATGTTAAAGAGTGCTGGAATCAGAACAGTCAGCAAAAAGAAAATCTGCTAAATCAGAGCCTTCAGAACTCACCGATGAAGAGTCATACAGGGAATCAATTTCTAAGACGAAAACAGAAAGTGTTCTATTATCAAGGTATGTCACTTTGTATCAAGCACATTACATCGCACTTAATAACACTAAAATATACGAAAAACATCATCTAAGTTCATAACAGTTCGTACAGTTCATATGCATGAAACAATAAAACTGTTTAACAACGGATCAGACGTGCTGATCCGACAAAATACGACATGCCTCTAATGTTCCTTAACATCATCATTACACTTGCATATGAAAACTTACAAGATGAACAAGTGTATCTTGCCTAATAATACTTAAAGATCCTGTAACACATTTTTTTCAGGGTTTAATTTCATAAATATGATTGCTCAAATTAAAATTTGTCAGTATTGTAAGTTCCAATAAGCATTATTATAAAGCTATTACCGAATTCAACATGTCATGTAAATAAAGGGAGGTAATTAGAAAAATATTTTCTATAAATTTTAAGTCAAATTTTCCAATAAGAAATGAATGCATATACACAAATGTAATTTATTGATTAAACATAATGTTCACAAATATTTGCAGTACACATTTTACATATTCTTTCATATGTTGAAAATTGTTTTATTTACATAACTATATACATATATAAATTTTTGCAAGTGTGGTATACACACAGTAACAATATCAATCACAAAACATACAGGATCTTAAAATAGTCGGATTTAAGAAAATATGTACGTGTGTTTAGATGTCACGAAAATTGGAAAATTAAATAAATGCACCTTTAACAGAATGTACGGAATTGTGACTCAGCGATGTAATCATACTGATGTTATAAGATAATATTATGTACAAACTTACACTCTGGGAACATAAAAAGGACCTATCTAGGCCTAAATAAACGACTGTAAAAGTCGCCATCTTGATCTGGAAATGTGTAAACATATTGAAAATCTTAAAAAGGGGATGTCATAATTTAAAATTGCTTTAAGTATCTGGACCAAATCTACAATTAGGCATACATTATCCAACTTGCTAAAGGAGTAGATGCGTGACTGAAATAACATATAGAAGAAAAAAGGCCGACAATGTCACATTTATACTACATTTAGAATGACTGAATACAATAATGTTACATGATATTCATTGTTTTATATTGTTTTCTACTATTCACTTACGGTACGGAATGTGTTATCGAACCAAGTAAACACACATAATAATATGATGTTACGTCTACAGCCTACTACCAAATATGACAAAATTGTTCAGGGTGTAAATCAGTTGCATGCATAACGTCCAATGTGGAGTTGCATATTATCATGGAACAAAATTAATGCATTTATTCCATCTTACTTTATAATACTTAATCTTGCAATATGCTTGATTTAATTTTCATTTTCAAACTTATAGTTGCTGATTTGGAACACCTTTGTTCATCGTGTTGACGCTAGCACGCCAACCACGTTGTCGTTGGGCGCTTTGTCGCCCTGCCGCCGTGTCGCTTGGTTTGTATATATACAAATAGTCAATCTTTCGATTTGAGCCGAGTGACAATGTGTCATTTTAACAATACGCTGCACGACAATGCACCGTTTGACGTGCATCGTTAGCTTCAGGACGACAAGACGAAAGTCCGATAACGTGCAGCTTTCTCGATATGTCGCTAGTGACAACACGACAACAAAAGTATTCCAAACCAACAACCATAATTAAACTTTATATATCAAACAAAAGATTTTTAAAAATTCTTTGAAAGTATTGAATTATCCATAATTGTAGAAAATGTATTTAAAATGTATAAACATTATTTGGTTACTTAGTTAACTAAATAGCGAAACACACGTAAAACAATTGCAGTAGCGTCCATGAACAAGCTCAATCAAATAGAGCCTGTGATATTTACCATTTTGTCGTTTTGAATTTAGTTTGTGTCTATTTCATTGTCACATCAGTGTCATATGTGCAGTGTTGTTGTTTTGGATTTCATACTTTTTGCACTTTCCGGTACCATCCAAAGCGAGCCTGCCTATTCTGTCGTTTTTGGCGTTTGGGATTACGAATTACATAATTCTTAAGAGTTAAATTATCATTAGACGACAGTATAGTCTCTTGAAATCACTGTACATTTTGACAGTACTTTGAGAAAAAGAGATAAATCATTGATATTTGATCTTAAATCACGGCAATTACTTTAAGTGAGATTATGACTTCTGTGTAGTATTTTCAAATGCATCTTAATTACTTAAGGAATTCAATTGGACTTTTACCACGCGGTGTCCAGGATAGGGAGAGGTTCAAGTTCTGAACCTTGTAAATAATAGAATGAATCGCGCAAAAACAACCCGGATATTATCGGATCCGTCCGTCCAATGTTATTGTGCCTGCAATGGCAAATTCAACTTTACACAATCAGGATATATGTATAATCCTTAAGTGTATAGCTTCTGTTTATTTCAAATTATTATTAATTTTCATGACACAATATCAGTAAAATGCGGATATACTTTTTAGCTCGACTATTCGATAAGAATAAGTAGAGCTATTGTAATCACCCGAGCGTCGGCGTCGGCGTAACCACTTACGTTAAAGTTTTTGTAATAGTTCAAATATTTTCAAAGTCCATTGACATATTGCTTTGAAACTTTGCACACTTGTTCACCATCTTGACTCCAACCTTTAGACATGTGGAGGTAACTCAATCAAGCATTTTGACAGAATTATGCCCCCTTTTCGACTTAGAATTTACGTTAAAGTTTTTGTAATACCTCGAATATATTCAAAGTCCATTGACATATGGCTTTGAAACTTTGCACACTTGTTCACCATCATTACCCCAACCTGTAAACAGAAGGAGGTAACTATATCAAGCATTTTGACAGAATTATGCCCCTTTTTCTACTTAGAATTTTCGTTAAAGTTTTTGTAATACTTCAAATATTTTCAAAGTCCATTGACATATGGCTTTGAAACTTTGCACACTTGTTTACCATCATTACCCCAACCTGTAAACAGGAGGAGGTAACTGTATCAAGCATTTTGACAGAATTATGCCCCTTTTTCGACTTGGAATTTTCATTAAAGTTTTTGTAATACCTCAAATATTTTCAAAGTCCGTTGACATATGGCTTTGAAACTTTGCACACTTGTTCACCATCATTAACCAAACCTGTAAACAGGAGGAGGTTACTGTATCAAGCATTTTTTTTCTAACTATCAAGCACTAAGAATAGTCGAGCGTTGCTGTCCTACCGACAGCTCTTGTTTCTACTTGTGCATACTATTGATACTATGTTACGAATTATACAAAGTGTGATATACAGAAACTCGAACAGGATAAAAGCAATGTTATTAGTTTAAATGACCTTTTTTCATTTTAACAATTGCTTTAATTGTTCTGCTGTATCTACTGACAATATTTCGAAAAACATATCGATTGTTATTTTAATAAAACATAGAGATTATTAGCTGAAGTATTTCCTTCATATGTGAATTCCTTGAAGACTTTCAGGAACAATCAATAACAAGGACACAACAAAGTCAATATTATAGTTATATATTTTGAAATAATTATGTATAGTTTTTTTACTTATCTATAAGATATTTTTCTTTTCATTTGTTTAAAATACCTTTTTTTTGTTATCTTTAACTATCAGATTTGTTTTGTCGCAAAATAACCATTATAATTCAAATTATAGTTCAAATGTCTTTGTTCTAGTCTATAGCAATATTTATTTCTAATAGCATATTCCAGAGAAAATATAAATGTTATATATATTTTTTCCTTCTCAATTTCCAGCGGTGACTTTTCCGTAGAATGCAACATACGTGAAGATGAAAACGTTCATGTTTTGGAAAATATTAAACATGAGAAAACTTGTAACGACGAATCAAATAGCTCGCTTGAAGATCTTGAACTTGACGTAAGTTATTTAAAATTATAATTGACTTATTTTAATGAAATAAAAACTGACATCGTAATGTAATTCCATAGAGATAACATTTTTGAGCATGTTCTTCATATAGATAACATGTTTCTGCATATTCTGTTTTGAAATAAAAAATACCGCCAAAACTTACATATTGTGCTAAACAGAACAAAGACACACTCCAAGATTTAGATCATCATCCCTGATATAATAAAAAAGGAAATAATCCAATGAAATAAGCTAAAGAAACTTCATTTGTCGTAGATTTGAAGTTATATGAATTGTCAAATTTCAATTACGTAAAGTTTTATTTTTTTACAGAAATTTGTTCATTTGTTGATGTCAAACAGCTAAAAGAAGAGATGGAAACTTTAGGCGTGCTACATGGTCTCAATAAGTATATCAAAGATTCGTTTGACAAGTGGGCACAACTTGAATTAAATATTGCTGTGACAGGTAACGCTGGTGTTGGAAAATCGAGTCTCATCAATGCACTTAGAAAGTTAAAGCCTACGGACAAAGGTGCCGCCGCTGTTGGTGTTGTTGAGAAAACAACAAAAGGCTGTAAATATACATATCCTGAAAATCCAAATGTAGTGATATGGGATTTACCTGGTGTAGGGACACAAAAATTCACAAGAGATACATATTTGAAAGACATGAATTTCGCCAGGTTTAACATAGTATTGATTGTTTCTGCTGGAAGATTCCTTGAAAATGATATATGGCTTGGAATGGAATTGCGTGCCTTTCGGACAAATATCATCTTTGTTCGAACCAAAATTGACATTGACCTGATGAATGCTAACCGAGATCACCCAGACACGTTTACTGAAACGGAATGCCTTGCTGAAATTAGAAATAACCTATCCGATAGAATTCGTCAAGGAGGAATACCAGCTTCGGTTTCAGGTGTTTATCTGGTTAGCTCTCCAGAAAGAACAAAGTTCGACTTTGTTGTCTTGGATAAGAATTTAAAAGCTTTGTTTAGCACCAAAGGAAAAGCCATCAGATCAATCATACAAAATTATGTTGAGATAGAAATAGGCAAGAATCAACAAATGAACAAGAATGGTTTTAAATTCCGTAAAGCACTTTCTATTTTATTTGGATTCGTGCCAACGCAATGTCTTACCGAAGAACTATGCCAACAATCATTATCTAAAATTAAAACTGTTTGCCAACAAAAATTTTGCATTGATGAAAAATCGCTTGATGACACGGCAACTCAATTGAAAACTTCGAAGATGAATATCATAGAGACAGTAAAATCCCTCAAGAAGAATTTTATTTTCGATGTGGAAGTTAAGATCAACAAGATGTACAAATATTATCGTTTTTCGGGACCTCTTGTCAGGGGAGAACTTCCTATTCCGTTTGTTTGCATGTTTTTCTCAGCGTACCACTCATATGTTACAACAAAGGAAAGTATAAACGCGATGTGTGATGAAATGGCTGCAGATGAATCAAGATTAGCACTTGTTCGACTAGATCGGCTTGAAAGTGATTTGAGACCTATCCAGTGAATGACTTTAAACCCATAGTGCAGACCGCTTTGAGAATAACAATAATTAAACTGAAAAAGGATTGATGTTCTATGATTAATTGTTTTAATAACATTCAGGGCAGAAAATTATAACAAACGATCAACAAATTCGACCGGCATTCATTGAACGAATCCCCTAAAACAGGATCACAGACAAGGAGCCCAGGACACCAAACAGGACAGGACAGAGATTGCTACATAGTTATTTTTTCCAAATTCAATGTTTATATATTAATCAAATTTTTTTTTCTTACCATTACTGTGTGAATAGGTTAATCTTTTTTTAAATATTGTTACTGACAAGAATCTGAGCCGAGGGGCATTTGTGTTAAACAAACACTTTCTTGTCTTGTTTTTCCTTTTAGAATATTGTTCATGTTAAAATAGATTTTACATTATTTTATGGAGTCCTTTAAATCGAAAGAAGGGATAAAGTATGGTTGCTATGAAAACCCACGTTCTCAAATTCAATGTGACCTGAAGGTTAAAATCATATAAAGCCGGCTTAAACTTTATGATTCCTCAATTAATTGTCAAAAGTTTAAACATATGGCAACCCCACTGTCAGACAATGTGTAGTACGCAAAACTGTTTGTATGACTCTGTCAAGTCAACTGTGTTTACATCATTTGGCAATTTTTCTGTCCATTACTGAGTGGATAGGTAAACCTTTTTTGAAAATATTGTTACTGACAGGAATCTGAGCCGATGGCATTTGTGTTTGACAAACACTTTATTGTCTTGTTCTTCCTTTTTACATATGTACATATTGTTCAAGACTGAAAATATATTTTACATTAGGTGGAGTCCTTTAAACCGAAAGAAAGGGTAAAGTATGGTTGAGTACAAGACCCACGTTCTAAATTGCGAGTTTACTGGGAGGTCAAAAATTATATAATGTTCGGCTGATGACTTTGTAATTCCTCAGTTAATTCACAATAGTTTTAATCAGAAATTGTATGGTAAACTTTTTGTATGTCTTGCTTTTTTGCCTGATAACTTTTAATCCTTGACTTGTAAAATGTTTTGAAAAATATCTTCGGTACGGTCAGAGTCGTGTCACCCGCAAAACCCAGATCAAACTTATACATATTCACGAATCAAAATGACAAATTCAGAACAAATATTCGTCAGTCCAGAGATCGTGGATCGCGATCTTATTTGTTTATATATGGTCACTGTTTCTCACACTCTAAAAGTCCAAATAAAATTACAATTTGAGTATGTCAAAATTATACGACGTTTACCTACAATTTGCCGATTAAAGACAGGAAGTAAACAAACAAGTACATGATGCTGAGCTAGGAAGTCATTAGTTTCGAAAAAAAATCATTTTATTCATTCTATCAACATTAAGGATAATATCCAAATAATCCCCCTATATAGTTTTTATATATACTATACAGGGGTATTTTTAATATCATTAATATTGGTTATTTGATAGAATTTCAATTTCCGGTGCTTTATCTTTATTGAGCACTATGTTTTGTCATGAACATAAATAAATACTTACAGTCCCTAAATTCAAGTTAAAAATTTCGTCAGACTGACATCAAACATCATGTCTGCAACAATGGCTGAAAAGGAGTCCTGCCGATATAAAATTCCATCAGCAAAATTTACATCCAATGTTGGTAAATACTTTGGTGTTTTAATTGAAAATGAAAAATAAACATGTCTTTTAGAACTAAAGTTCATTTTTATGGGTGTCTTGATAACAATGAATTTGTGGTTCGATTTGTGAATCGTAAGTGCTGGATCGTGGATCAGATCGGATCGTCACTTATCCAACGATCGACACTCATAGCAATTAGTCTTTTTTTATTTTATGCGTCAAATATGACTTTATTACTGTTGATATCTTAACATAGTAGAATCTAGTGTTGGCTTTTAATTTCACGTAATAATAGTATTAATAAAACTATATAGCATAAGGTTTTCTTTGGAGTGGGGGCCGTAAGGGGAGCAAGTCGCTGTTTCTTCGAGCATGAAAATGTTCAGTCATTGCTCAGTGATTGTTGGTTCCATGAACAGACTTCCTACACAATCTAAAAAAATGAATTCTGTATTAAACTAAATCCATGTTTTCTGTCAAAGAAATGAAGTACAAAAATATTATTCATATTAATTCACATATTCTAGAAATTTTCAACAATGTCAGTGTTTAAATGAATAATTAGTCCATTCTTCTTTTTTACAATTTTCAACAAAGAATATTAACAATAAAATGCAATCCTTATGCAACTTCTTTAGTGTAATATGAATGTGACTTTGGTTTCAACAGGATACTTGACAATACCTTTGAGAAAAAAGATAATGTATGTAAAACAACAAAATATTGAATTCAATTTTATTCTTGGCGTGCTCATAAAAGTGATTTAAACTGATGTTCCTGGTCAATCGTATAACTATCTACTTCAGCAAATTAGGGTACAAAATAATTATTTATTTTATCGAAATGGTTATTCAATCTGCTAACCTAATTTCTTTCAAACCTAAGAAAATATTCGTTTTTCTTTGCAAAGACGCTAGTAGCAATTATTTTCCTTAAAGACTGTTGAAAGTGAATATGAATTAAAAAAAAAAACTCTGACACGGCTAGACGAAGTTACTGTCCACGCCACCTTGAACTCGCCTTCTTCAAAGTCCCATATCAAAAATGGTCAGAACGAATAGCATTTCCAGACATCAGCACCAAGTTGACTTGACATGGTAAACACATAATCGATGTGTCATTCCACAAAGACGTGAATGATCACTAGTTAATGTAAGAAAGCTTTATTTGGTGCCCTACTAGATGTCCTATTCGTTCATCTGTGTGACTGCCGGCCTGTCTTTACATAATAAAGACATTATAAGTATTTAGACATAAATTAAGCAAATTTGAAAGCATTTTGACAACCCGTAATAAGAAAGTATATTATTTAAAAATGTGCATGTCTATAATGCATTAATCCATGATGGTAATGTCGTGTATGTAAAATAATCGCTTTAACATTATTTTTAGCTTTACGAATGCATGCATTGAAATAAATTATATAGATTTACATGTGTATTGTAAGTATTGTTACTTGTTTTTGAATGTTTACATGTTTTGTGATGTCTGCCTTGTTGGATTGACGTTTACGGTAGGTATTTTCTCACCCCTCCCTCTTTTTTACCCCTTCCCCTTTTCAGCCTTACAGCCCTTATCCCTTTAATTCCCATATGAGCCCGTTTTAGTTTATATCATTTCACACATTACTTGTCCCTCACTATTCGCCGCCCTTATGTCCACTCCAGGTTTTTGTTTGGCGCCTTCTGGGTGCCCTACTTGGTTGTGTCGGGAGCTGCGTCCTGTGAACGTTGCCTTTGCCTTGTTGATCATTATTCTTGTTTTTTTAAGCATTTACTATTGATTAATTTAATTTCAACAGAATTTTCTAAAGCTGTTTTTGTACATTTTGTTTTTTTACAAAGAAGTTTAATGAAAACAGATGATACAGGCAATAAAAACAATTATATAACCGGTGATTTTACTACCGAAAGCGCTTTTCACACGTCCGAGGTATCATATATCCTGTAGGTTTATATTGTTTAACTTACAACACGATACATGCATCTAATCAATAATCAAAAGGATAAGGTACATGAAAACACTATCCTTTAATTGTACATTCAAACATTTTACACAAACAGAGACCTTAAACTTTAAATGTCCAGGCCTTTTAGATAAATTTTGATATTTTCATTACGTTTTTGATGGAAGTGACGTTGAAACTAAATTGAAACAATTCTACTTAAACATAGCATGTTCAATGTCAACCGATATTTGTAGGCTATGGATGTGGATTGTCAATGGTGCCAGATAAGGTAACCAAAGGAAAATCAATCGAAGAAGATGCGCTATTTATCAAAACATTTCATTTTAAGCGGAAAACACAATTTCCCATTGACTAAAATGAAAACACTTGTTAAAGCATTTGCTTTAAAATTCAAATTAAGAAAATTGTTTAAAAAAAGAGTTTTTTAATATTTCCTTTTTTTACTTTATTTTCAAAATTTTTGATTCCCAAAAAATAGTATTTTTTGTTTATTTTCTTTAACTTTGACAAAAATTTAAATTTTAAATTCTAAAGAAATTTTGTTGGAATAAAAAAAGGGCATTGTTTTTCCAAATAATTTTAGAAAGAAAAACCCCATGTTAAGTCGCGGAATGTGATTTCAAAAAAAGCAGAATTTTTTGCAATGAATGGGGGATACCTACAGGTTTCCAAGGGGGTAAGTAAACGGCCAATAAGTCTTTTTTTAACCGAAAAAAAAAAAGTCAAAGCGCATACGGCTGCGAAGACATAACTTTTTATCCCTCATCAAATTTATTTCCAAAAATTGGGGTTAAATTTTCAACTCATTGGGAAAAAATGATACTTAAACTATCGTTTTGAGCGAGATTTGGTTTTTTGTAAGTAAAACAATGCATATTATACGGTATGATCCGATTAAGCTCGGCAATGAATTTAAAAACTTCTGGATATAAAAAATTAAAATTTAGGTGATAAAAGGGATTTAAGTTTTTTTAGATGAACCCCGATGTAGGGAATATGTTTCGGGGTGGGCTGGAAATGTGGATTTTTTCATATATTGGCACTGAACTATTATACCTGAAATAATGCACGGAAGGGCACCTGAGGTCTTCCTCCACCAGTAAAGCTGGAACGTCGCGATATGACCTATACTGTGTCGATGTGACGTAAAACTCAAAACAAACAAACAAACACATGTTTAACGCCATCAATCAGCGTGTATTAGCCTCTAAGAAAACATAATTTACAATGTATACCACTACAATTCTTCAATAATATGGAAACAACAATGTGGTACATTGGAATTGTATGAAGAAATACATGTTAATATTTACAATCCATTCATAGCTAACACTTGTCAAAGAAGTACAAAAAATAAATTAAACAAGGAGGGAAATAATTTTTAGGGGTTTCATCA